CAACCTTTTTCACATCTCCATTGCAGCAACTCTGTGTCGCCTAGGAAACAAGGGACAAAGAAAAACTGTCTAGAAACCACATAAAGAGAATCGTTTCCTTGGCCGTTGCTACCTGCCTATGAGTCTCAGGTACAAGTCCCATCCTTCCTGCTGTGCTCTGGGCAAAATTCTTTGTGCCAGGTGACTTCTGGAGAACCACTTTGAAAAGCCAGCAAGAGAGCTGCCTGGAAACAAGGAACTCACACTGCGTAGTTGTCACCAGAACTACAGAGCATGAGTGCTGGATTCTCCTAAGACATTGCATTGGCCCAGCCTCCTGACCTCTCCCCTCCCGAGTCCCAGGCCCTTCACCTCCTGGGCCCAGGGTGCTGGTCTGCAGCTGCAACCCTCTCTCCCTTGAATGCCCTATTTTCACTCATCTCATGGGACACTCAAGAAATCAAATACCATGGCACACTCGCCACCTCAGAGATCATACCAATAATTAACTATTTTTTCCCTGAGGAGTACTGCTTAGTATAAGATATAATACAAAATTTCACTAAGGATTTCCCTGGGGGCATCAGGTTTTGCCTCATATGTTCCCATGCTGACCTACCACAGTACCTGACATCTAATTTCTCCCCAACTTCCCCCCAAAAAGGAACTGCCGCTGCCCTGGCCGGGTTATTGTCCAAGTGTGAGAGGGAGGGTAGGTGAAATTGTGATTCTCCACGCATCCCTCAGGATCCACTCTCTACTGTTCTCTGTCCTGTCCTTCCCTGCTCTTTCCCCCCGTGTGGCTGCCTATACAGGATGCCATCTGGGCTCACCCACCCTCTCTGCCTTCCAGTTGAGTTCAGCCATCTTTCCTACTGGCAGGAGATTAGAGGGTGTGTGAGGGGTGTGAGGCCAGGGCATTTATACTCCTCACCGCCACCACATCAGGTCTTCATTTGGGGAGTGGTTGTATCGTCAACACAGGGCTACAGCTCCTACCAGGGCCCTCTCACACAGCTCCTAGTCTCAGCTTCGGAATCAGTTCCCACCCTTGCCAACAAACCTAAAGGTAGTAATGGCTGCTAATTGTTCCTGGTCCAAAAGTGCTTCACCTTTGAGTATGCATCTGTCAGACACCTACAAGGAATAACCCAGGTGGCTAAAAGCCAAAGAAGCATCCAAGCCAAAGGCCAATGAGAAGAAGCAAAGTTCAAATACATGCAAGAATAAGTCCTAATGCCCAGCCTAGGGTTCAAACCCAGAATCTAGGTAGGAGATACAGAACCAGAAGGTCAGAACTTGGAGGAGACAGAACCAAATGAACCACCCCAATCAGAAAATAGCAAAGCACTTACCAGTGGGGATCATGCTCTTCTTTCTGGCCAGCAAGTAGAGTTGCTTGAGTAAGGTAGGCTGGCTTCATAGATGAAGGACACGGTAAATTCTCTAATTCCCATGCAAGGTTTTAGTCTTTCCTTCTCCAAGAGCTCAATATTAAAATATAAATGCCCCAAAGAAGAGTTTCAGTAAAGGGCTCCAACCCTGGTGCCCGGGGTACAGGAGGGCCTTGTGAGGGAGGAAGAAATTTCCTCTGCTCGTCTAGGTTCTTTCAGTTGGTCTAGTAATCAAATCTGCATGCAACTGATTAATAAGAGAAAATAACCAAATTGAATTACATTCATACGTATGGGGACCTCACATACATGAGACATTCCAAAACAGAAAGGCAAAATGGGATATACATGACATCCTGCGCTAAGAATGAGGGAGGGCACCTGGGCTTCACAGAGGAGGAGAGCAATTCGCAGGACAATAAGAAGAGCAGATGTTCAGTAATTAGAAGTTTGCCCTGCCCTATAGATAAGTCATAAAAAGTTATTTCTAGTAATAATTCTTATTATGGGCAAGGCCTCAATTTATATTCTTTAAGAGAGAGGTAAAAGTTTCTTATGAGCTCACAAAGCCTCAGTGGCCTTCAGCTCAAATAATCCACATTCCAAAGTGGCACATCTGGGGAGACCTGTTCCAAACCCCGTCACAGAATGTATCTGGGCAGGGTCAATAGCATTCATCAGACTCAAAAAGGGATGTGGGATCATTAATGGTTATCATTTCCAATAACCTTACTGTCCATTTACCTCTCAGCCACGTCTTTACTTGGAAAAAAAAAAAAAATCCCAACTCCTTTCTCTTTATAGCAGACTGATTGCCACCCCTTTTCTCATTCTCCACAGGCCCTCCCCAATCTCCACATTCCCCAGTTCGGGCCTTGCAATTTAAATATAGGACATTTAAGACCAATACCACTTTGAATCCTGGTAAATCCTCATAGCTCTGCTTTGTGATGCAGAAAAATGTTTTTGTTCCTCTCAATTGCAGTGCCTCTTTATATGTTATACTTAGCATTTGCCATCAATGGGTCTCGAAGGAAATTTGGCACCAAGCTCTCATAATGTACAATGAAGAGCCACGCTCGCTAGAGATCATCCCAGTGCTGGCATTCGAGGAGTCAAAGTCCATTTTAGTCATTCCAGTGGAGGGTGAGTGGTATCTCATTGAACATTAAGTGGGTCTAGCAATATTTGCCAAAAAATCCATTTTTTGCCCATTAAATTATTTTTATGCCTACATAGAACAATTGGCCATATTCGTACAGGTCTATTTCTGGACTGTTTTCTACTAGGTCTTTTGCAACTACACAGAAATTTTAGGAAAAGTTGGCTAATTTCTATAGGATTATGATTGGGACTGAGTTGAATTCAATACACTGTTTTGGAAAGAGTTACTGGTTAACATTGGGCCTTCCATATTCCATTTCTTTGTTGTAAAAATTGCTTTTGTACATTGACCTTGCACCCTAAAACCTTGTTCAATGAATTTATTATATCTAGTAGTTTCAAAAAACAGATTTCATAGGATTTTTATATAAAAACTTGTTAAATATGAATATAATTTTATTTCTTCCTTTCCAATATTCACACCCGTTTTCTTTCCTTGATACATTGCATTTGCTCTACCACAATGTTGTCTAGGCAAGAGCAGATACCTGGGCCCAGTTTTCAAACTCGGGGAGCTTTTTCCACATTTACCATTAGAGATGGTGCTAGTGCAAGAATGTTCATAGATGTCCTTTATCACATGGCGAAAATTTCCCTCTATTCCAAGTTAGCTGAATGTTTTTGTTATTTTTGATTTCTTGTTTTTAATCCTGAATAAGTAATGAATTTTATCTATTGATTTTTTTCAATCTATTGAAGGTGGCTTTATGATGTTTCCCCTTTATTTGATCAAATTAAATGTTTGATTTTTAAATGTTAACCTGCATTCTTGTTCATACATGCTTCTTGGTTGTAATTGTACCTTGTCGTATGTTCCTGGATCGATTTGCTAATATTTTGTTAAGAACTTTTATGAACATGATCATGAGGGATTTGTCAACATTATTTTAAATTTTCTTGTAACATTTTTGCCAGGTTTGGTATTAGGGCAGTATCAGCTTTATCCAATCATTTGGGATGTTTTTTTCCTGTTTTGAATTAGTATAAGATTGGCGTTTTTATTCTTTAAATGTAATAGAAGTCACCAGAAAAACCATCAGAACTTGAAATTTATTTTGTGACAGATTTTGATTATAAATTCAATTTCTTTGATAAGATTTTTCAGATTTCCTGTTTGACCATGTGCCCTTTTGGTTTGTTTGTTTGTTTTTCTGGTTAAGTTTTAGTATTTATCGCATACTGGAGAGGGCCCTCAGGCATAAAGCTACAAACTCAGAGATTGCACCCCCTGTAGCTCCTCTTTCACTGGTAATCCCCTCCATTATGTCTGATTTTGGTCACTTTCCAGTGCCATCAAGTAATTTTCTTATAAATTATTTGTCCGGATTTAATAATTGTTATCTGTTGGAAGATTAGTCTGATCAAGCTATTCCATTATTACTGGAAGCTAGAATTCCTCCACCGCATCCTCTAACAGAAATGAAAGAAATCTTCGTGCTGTGAATCCATCTCCTGACATTGCTCTTTGTGCCGTCAGCTACCTGGGCATGGTCATAGGAACTACTGAAACACCCATTTCCCCAGCATCCCCAAATCTCCTCCAGCCCCTTCCCGGGCTCTCTGCCCTCAGGCACCAGGCTTTCCTTCACCTCCACAAAACAAGTTCTTCCCTCCTCCCTGCCTTTGCCTAGATGCGCATCCTTTTTGCATGGCTGGTACCATCTCAGCTCTCAGGTCCCAACTCATGTCTCCTCCTCAGGGAGGCCTTCCCAAACAGTCTTTTTTCAGGGGCTTCTCCCTAATATTATTTTTTGGAGCTCTTTTTGATTCCGTCAGAGCAGGTACACAATTTGAAAATATTTTGTGGCTCTCTCGCTTCGGAATATAAGCTCCTGACAATGGACACCATCTCTGTCCTGGTTAGTGACAATTATCTACTAGAATTGCTTCTTGTTAACAAGGTCCCCTTTAAATACTACGTAGGATGGCTAACAGCTTTCCTGCTTTCTTGCAGTGAAAGTCTGAAACCTCAAGGGAAGAAATGTAGGCTCTGGATGGGGAAGGAAGGGAAGAGCTCTCCGCAGAACCGCAGAAAAATAGCACTATTAAAGACCCTCCATTTCCCAATTAGACAAAAAGTGAAACATAGATAAGTTTCTGCCTGTAATCCTGATGATGATGATAATGATGATGTGATGATGGTGATGATGGTGATGATGAGAGTTCCTTATTATGTGTCAGGAGACTATTGTATATACACATGAGAAAACTATGACTCATAGTAACCTTAGGTCACTCTACATCTAAGATAATTAGATAAATGCCATACTGAAATTTTTAGTCTCATCCTCTCAAAAGTTTTAGTTAGTATATTCTCTACAGAGCCCATTTCACATATACACACACACACACACACACACACACACACACACTCACTCACTCACTCACGCATACACATATCCCTCAATTTCTCCTACTCCCCAACTCCCAATACTGGAACAATAAAAAGTCTCTAAAATCATATTCAAGTCAAATGGTAGGTTTATTGGCTGTCTCTGTTACACAGATGAAAAATGTCTCAACGTAGGGCGTTCTAAACCTTGTTTTGGCTTCCTGCTGTGCTGGACGCCCAGCAACAGGAGCACCTGCTGTGCTGGACGCCCAGCGACAGGAGCAGAGGCCGAGGATCAGTAGACAACAGAAGCAAACTGCTGCTGGTTCACACTTCTACAATGATTCATTCCACAGGCTTAGGGAACTTTTTCTTTTTTCTTTCAGAGCATCTTCCTCTTTTCAAATTCCTTCAGAAACAGAAGAGAGGGAGAAAAAGAGGAATAAAAATATAAAAAATCCAAATTACATTTATAGTCAAAGTGATTCTGAAACTTCTTATCTTTAGGATTCTTTGAACAACCAAATATTACTGGAGTAAAATGTACCAGGATGAAAGTATTTGAACACAAACTAACAGCTTTCAAATTAGTCTGTCAGCTTGAATTTCACTGAGCTAGATGCAGAGCTTCAATTTTATGTCTCCTAAACAAAGAAAACAAGAGGCTGTGCATTCTACTTTTTTCTACTGCAGTATTATTATTAGCATTTGACAAACCTGACTGTGCTTATCCAAACCTTTAATGCAATACATGAACCATACTGGCCCTTTAATAAAGCAACAGTAACAAGTTTGCTTGGTTTCTTAGAGAATAAAACTAAACAGATTCAGTAAGAGTTGAACAAAATGTCAGAACCTCAGAAACATCTGGAAAGGAAACAATACTGAAAACCATATTTCTCTAGCTTAACAGTTAGAATACAACAAATGTGTAGATAGCTGCTGCCACTTACTGGAGTAAAACGGTATTGCATGTCTCCAATATGAATTTTTAAGCATTTGCTTTTTCTTTCTCTCTTTTAAATAAAATTTGTCTTCACACACTTACTAACCATCCAGAATTCATTCAAATACTATGGCACACAATGTCATATTCCATAAGACAGGATCATGCAAAGATTCAATAAAATGAGGAGTCCATTTTATAATCCTTAAAACAAGGGCGAAGATTGCACCAAGACACCGTTCCTTCTTGGGGATACAATTCAGGCCTGTTTTCAGCATGCTTAAAAAGTTTGTTTTTTTTGTTTGCTTTTTTGACAAGGCTATAATCACAGTAAAAATAGAAAGAGAGCCTTAAATGATAACTCAAAGAGACAGGCTGAAAATCATTACCAAGAGATTATGGAAGATACCAAATCATTTAGAATATTTTAAACAATGTCCTATTTAAAAAGGATAAGAAAAGCAAGTGGTTAAGAAGTCCATCCTCTAACCTGTAACAACAATGGCATCCCGACTTAGCCAGGGCCAGAAACTAAAGGCTGGAACCCCCACCCTCTTCCATAAATCTGCCTTCACCCCAACTCCTTTTTCATTCAGTTTTCATTTCTTGTTACTCAGCCTTCAACCCCTCCCCCTAGAAACAGAAACCTATGGGATCAGGATAGCTGAATCCCAAAGGCCCTCCACGGAAAAAAAAGACAAGGTAATTTTCTGTACCACTCCCCAAATGGAATTCATGGCTTTCCTGTATATCATAGCTTGCCATTCACAAAAGTTGCCAGAAGGTAATTCCTGATCAGGCCCAATTAGGATGTTAGGATGTAAACAGAGTTGTTACAGAATGTTAAGCTGCACACCAGAAAGAATAAACAGATGAGAAAGAAAAGGCCATGGTTTCCAGGTAGCTAGTGTGGCCGCACATCATAAGGCCCATAACTTCAGAGCAGTTAGGCCACTATGAAGAGCTCACCTTGTAGATGGTAGTGCCCAGCTGCGCAGGAGACATGCTGACCACAACTCCTGCATTCTGAAGGGCAGAGATCTTCTCTTTAGCTCCACCTTTTCCTCCAGCGATAATTGCTCCTGCATGACCCATCCTCCTGCCAGGAGGAGCCGTTAAACCAGCAATGAAGGACACCACGGGCTTGGCTTTGGGACCCTAGAAAGTGATATTTTAAACACTCTAATGAATAAGTTGATTAAAACTGAACCCCAGTTTCATGACTGTCAGTAAACGGCAAATGGCTGGGACAGCGCCCATTATTCAGCATCATTAAGAAAACGGACGCGAATAATAAGCTGACTAAAACCACGGCACCCTCCCTTTTTGATGACCCAGCTTTTCATACAAACTCAGAAAAATAATTTCTGAGTAAATTTTGTATTTGTTTAGATATTAAACTTTGTCTAAACTTTATCACTGGCACAAGCTGTTTTACAAATATATATGTGACATCTGAAAAAACAAAGAGCGCACTTGAAAATATCTAAGTTATGCGATTTGTTTTACTTCAACCTGATTTTATGTCTTAATTCATTACCACTTAATCCTTAATGCCCCTGCTAAAAGAAAAAGAGGAGGTGGGAAGGTATCCTGGGAAAGACAGGACTAGGAGTCACCAGACTTAATTTCCAACTGACAAAAACTGCATGACCGCGGACGAGGCACATCACCTCTCTAGACCTCTGCTTCCTTGTCTATGAAACAAAATGGCTAAGCCAGATTGATGGCCCAGGGTCCTTTCTCCTCTGAAATTCTATGATGTCTAAAAAGAAAGACCAGGACTAATTTTATTCAACAAAAATCCATTCTAATGTGCAACCTCTATGTGCAGAAACAGCACTGTATTATGTTCCGAAGTAAAAATTAAAACACGCTCACAGAAAATGTAAGAATTTGTATGCTCTAGGCTTATAGTATAGTTGAAGAAATAATATAAACTATGTATACACATCAGTAAGTTAGAGATACTATAAAGCAATATATGAATATACGGTTAAGTTTCATGCAAATGAAAAATACCATGTTCATAACAGGATTCCGGAGGCAATAAAGAATCCAGGTGAAACAGGGAGGCTTGCGGAAGGCAGAACTTGAGCACAAGGGGAATCCGAGTACCTTCTTTCAGGCACTAATGCCTTCCCCTAGGCCAGCAGTTTTCAAATCATTCCATCTTGGGACCCATTATACTTATAAAAATTACTGAGGATCCCAAAGAACTTTTGTTTGTGTAAGTTCTAACTGATATTTACTGTCTTAGAAATCAAAACTGAAAACTTTTTATATTTATTAATTTATTTTAAAATAACTTTTAAAACTATTTTTTAGAAAACAGGAAGAAGAGTAGCATTACTTTACATTTTTGCAATGTCTTGATGCCTAATAAAATGCAAATCAATATTAATATCTGCTTTTGTATTTAATCTATTACAATGTTGACTGAAGTACAAGAAGTAAAAGAAGAAAATCCAACCTCACACACATATGTGGTTGAAGAAGGGAGTATTTTAATAGCTTGTCGGATAATTATGGATATTCTTCTTTGATACGACAGGAACCTCTTCAAGTATTAATTTCTTAAAGGGTAGATGCAATCTTGGAATCTGAAACCATAGCAATGAACTTTTTGGCCTCTGTTACTTTAAAATCCATTAGTCTGTCTTGCCTTTGAATGGATCTTTAGACAGTCATTTTATAACATGCATTGGTCAGATGGAAAATAGGAGTCCACAGAGTTATGTAGATCTTCCCCAGGGTGACACATTTCATCATTCAATATCAACAAATCACACTCAGCACTATCACTATCACCATCAATCTCATTAGAAAAGTTTTAGCAGGGAGCAGTTGTCAAGTTCACAGTGGCAAATATAAGTTTTTCAAAATATTATTATTCACTTGAGAGCTCAAATTTTATCATTGGCAACAAATACTAAGAGTTGTTTTCCTTGATATGGCAGATTCGTTTTGTTCATTTTTGAGATGAGTTCTGCCAAATACCCAAGTCTAAATAACCAGTTTGTCTGCCAGTCGTTCTTTTGAGGAAAAACTGGCATTCCATGAAAAAAGCAGCTAGATCAGCTCAAATCTCAACTGAGAAAGTGCTTTACTTCCCATTTCATCACAAAATACTGACTCAAGGGTCAAGATTTAATTAAATTAATAATTTTTTACTGCTTCATCAAGGACATTCTTAAATAAAATTGGCTTTTTTCTTTTTACTGGGAGTACAAGGCAGATGACTAGCGCAGTTTGCTTCCACTGCCCTGATTCACGCTAAGATACCAGCATGCAGGTTATACGTGCTCTGGCACTGCTTACTCCAGCCTCATCTCCCACCATGCTTCCCTGCCCTCTATCTTCCAGTAATCCCAGACTGCTCTGCCGCTGTTTCTCTGCTGAGGATGTTTTCCATCTTCCTTGGCTAGCTGGCAAATCTCTACTTAACCTTTAAGACCTCTCAAGACTCCTCTTCCTCCATAAGCCTTTCTAACCCTCCCAAACTCTCCACAAATGCCCTCACGGTCATCCATCTTCTGTTCAGTGACCCTGCTGTGCCTTTTGCACTTTTCCATTCTTATACTTAGTACACAGGCAGTCACTTATTTCCCATGTGTTCGCCCTCCTAAACTACGAATTCCTTGAACACAGGGACTATGTCCTCATTTGAAAAGACTCCACAGTACTTATGCATTCACTTGTGGGCTCTGCAGAGGATATGAGCATCTCATATTTGAGTGGCACGAATTCCACTTGATCCCTCTGTCCCTACACTCAAATAGTGGGACTACTGCACTAGAAAGGAACAAGATTATGATGAGCCTAAAATGTCAAACAAGTTTACACTATGTCCTATTAACAAAGAAGAGCCACTTGAGATTTTTAGGCAGAGAAAAATACAATTAAAAGACTGGGGGAAGTGTAATCTGAAATTACGATAAGAGTAAAAGCCTAAAAACAGAATGACCATTTAGGATGCCACCAATATAATCCGAGCAGACACTGAAGACTGCTGACTCTTGTCCTTAAGCCCTGCAATCTGACCCCTGATCCCTCCATGGTGTGATGGAGAAGTCAGGCAAAACTGGGTACTAATCCTACCCCTGGTTCATTTGTTATATACCCACTATAGACAAGTTATTAAGGTCCCTGTGCCAGTTTACTCACTCATAAGAGAAGGGCAAAAACATCTTACTCACAGGGTCAAGGTAAAGGGTAAACACTATTTTTTGCAAATCATATTGTCATTGTAATGATGATAACAATAGTAGTTGCAGCAGCAGAGAGCATTATTGAGAGTTCGCTCTGTGCCAGGTATTGTGCTAAGTGCTTTATATGTCAACTGAACTGTTCTACTTAGCATCTTGGACACAGCATGTCCTCAATAAAAATTAGCTCCATATGAATTAACCAGGAATAGGAAAACATGTACCACATAAAACAAAATGTATACATTTAGTTTTTCCCATTATATTCTAAGCTATTCAAGGGATTCAAAGTTAGACCTAAATACATTTTCATATTCACTTTAACACAGTGTCATGTCATATCGACCTAAGTTTTTTTTTCTAAAAAGCAGTCAGTTTTTACCTAAATTTCCAACTTTATAACTTTTCTGAATTCAAGAGACTCTAATAACATTCTACTCCAAGCTCAACATTTATTAGTGCCTACTGTGCCAAGGATTGGGCTGGGCACCAAGGATACCAGTTCTTTGCTGTCCATAACAGTCCAGAGTGAGAGTCAGATACCACGCATGCTTCGCAGAAGGAATAAGCAAAGTAAAGTGAGAATGAAAACAACTCGCATGTCAGAGGAGACATGGATCTGAAGAGGAAGGTTAGAGTGGTGTGTGAGGACTGGAATGCCATGCTAAGTCTGGTCGTTAGCTTACATGTACCTAAACCAGAGCAGATGGACTAATAACAGATGATGCTCTCAATTTCAACATACTGCTGAAATCTCAGAGACACATGTTGGTAACTGAGTGGAAATGAGAGATGAGAGAAATAAAAGATGATGCCTGAAGGATGATGTTGTTTACATGCAGTAATCACTCACACTTAAGAAATAGGCACAGAAAGTAACTCCAGGGAAAGATAAAGAGAAGAACCCAGAGAAAAAATCAAGAGATGGAGAGGATGAAGAATGAAGTGAGGCCACTGATGATCTCTGCAAAAGCAACGTCACAAGAGTAAGATTCCCAGCAGCAGCAGCAAACTCAAAAAGGGCACTTACTACGTGCCTGGTGTGACTCTGCTGTATGCTCCCAAGTCATTTAAACATCACAGTCCTTAAACACAACAATGCTAGTAGGCAGGCACTACTGTAGCCCTATTTTGCCAAAGAGAAAACTGAGGCACAATGAAGTTAAGTAACATGCACAAGGTCACACAGCTTTTAAGTAGCAGGCAGAAGCCAAACTGCTGAGGATTAGAGGGTAAATAAATAAAAAAAAAAAGAGATCCAGAGAGTGAGAGGAAAGTTGAGTAACAACTTATATAGAGATCAGAGTTTCAAACCACCACAGAAGAAAATCAAGTATACTCAAATTAGTCCTTGAAAATTCCTTTAATCACACATAAATATGTGTTGTTTTATGGATACTACTCTGTAAGTGATACTATTGGTTCCTTTAACTCTCCAGTATTTATTATTTTTCTATGGTATTTAAGTCATTCACTCCTCAATTTCTTTCACAAACATAGAAAGTTACCTCCCCCTGCCTGCCTGGCCTCCTGAGGGTGATTCTTCATTCATTCATCAATGTCAGGGAAATCCTAGAAATCATTCCCATTGTTGCCCCCCAGGTCTTTGCACACATTCACTGAGTGGGGGCTGGTGGACGCCAAGCTGCTTCAGTAGTTACTATACCCTCTCTCTCTCCTCCACCCCAGAAAGATTCTATACCACTTTTTACATTTAATTCCAAGGGAGAAGCAACTAGGAAAGCCTTCATAGGTCATAGATAATAAAGCCTTCTACTTAACCTTTGAAGGGAAGCACTACGCTACAAAGAAAGACCAAAGCTAGAGAGAGGTGAGATCCTGGAAAAGGGTATAAAAAGGTCAGCCCTAAAAAAGAGAAAGAATGCTTATATACCCTAAAATCAGAGAAGGAACACCAACGATAAGTGAAAAGTGCACCAGCAGGTTAAGTGAGGGCTTTCGGGCTGATGACCGGAATAGTTCTCCATTTAGCAAGAGGCCAACTTACCTACCACAAACGTGTGAGGTGATGCCTGGGGAGGAAGGCTCAGAGTAGATAACAGGCATTGTGAGAAAGAAGGAGAGTCAATCCAGAAAGAGTCCAAAGTTTTCTGAGTGCTAGTACTAAAGGCCCAGCTCAGGAAGGTTTGATTTTATCTTTCATGTTTTCTTGAAAAGTTAATCGTTGAAAAAATAAAAATACCTTCCAAAACAAGCCAGTGATATTTTTCAAGAGCAAAAAGCTATATTTTTCCAAAGCCAAACTTACTGAATTATGTTGCTTCAAAAATTCTGCAGCATTTTCTTCTGCATTACCACCAATTTCACCAATTAACATGATGCCTTCTGTGGCTGGATCATTCAGAAAGACTTCAAGGCAGTCAATAAAATCTGTTCCATTAAAAGGATCACCTCCAATGCCTGAAAAAGTCAAAGAATATCAACAGCATAAAAATTAGGTCAAGAAATGTTGTTTCAACTGGTTTCTCATTTTGCTTACTCCGCTCACCAATATTTTTAAATGTATCATCACTGTAGCACTAAACATAAAAAAATCACAAAATAGTACATTTATTTAGAGTATTATGTGAATACTAAATGATGGTTGGATTCTGATACACACAAAGAAAACTTTCTTTTTGTTTACCTCCTTTATCAATCCTCTTCCCTCCCACAAAATTATTCCTAGATGTTTAAAAATGAACATTTTAAGAAAATATGTTTGCACTGCAAGCAAATGAGAATTTCTCTGATTAAACATTTAACAAAACTCTTTGAACAAAGAACTATTAGACGAGGCACGCTGCAGAGGAACCACTCACAAGTTTTAAGACACAAGTCCCAGTGACGGATGCAGGGGTGGCGCCCTGGCCCCTCTTCCCTCAGATCCAGAGTGGGTAATGACAGAGACTACATGTAGGGGCTCTACTCCAAGCACATGACATTTAAGAAAAAATACTTGAATAGAATTAAAGTAAATGTTCCTTACAGGCTGACTGCCACTTTTTTTTTTTTAAAGTTATAAACTTATTGAAGGCAGGATTGATTTCCTACCTTTAATGCAGCTCTGAAGAATGAATTTGAAGAAGGGAAGTGAGATTTATTGAGTGACAACCATGTGTCAAGCACAGCGTCTCAGCACACATTAAACCTGCTATTTCCTAATTCTATCAGCCTCTCTGTGACAGGGGCATTATTATTCTCAATTTAAAAATTAAAAATAGAAGCTGGAGAAGATGGAATTGGCAACTCCGTTTCAAAACCTTTCTTATTCTCCATCATACTAAGTTAGCTAGTGTCTAAGATTGTGCTTTATACATAGAAAAGCGAGATTAATGTTTCCAATACTGATTTGATAGACCTAAGTCTTAATAAAAAGCTTCCAAGCCTATATTTTTTCATTTTTATTTTATAATAAAATATTTATGTAAATATTATAAAAATAGCTTTTTACAAAGCTATTTTTGAAACATCTTTAAATGATACTCTAAGAATCTGAAGAAATAGTTATAAAAATGGGAAATTTGCCTGGCTTTTGGCAACAAATACCAAAATTATTTTTAAAATACATTATTTAAATAACTTTTTTATTTTTAAAAGTGGGAGGCAGTACAATGTGGTAAAAAGAGTGGTTCTAGGCAACTCGACCTTCCTCAATCTAGGTTTTCTCATCAATATATAGCTTTATGCTATACTAGTAAAACTTTTAAGCTCAGAGGTACCTTAGAGGGTTGCCATAAGAATCAGACAATGAATGGCAAAGAATTCAGTAACTATGAAGCACTGAATTGTAGCTCATAATGATAATAGATGATAATTATAGTCACAAAAGTCCTAATATGAAGGACCACTTCTTCACAGCAAGCAAAATAAGTGATGTTTTCAGGCACCAAGGCTCTCCAGGAGCCACATGTCTGAGGATGTTTGTTCTTCGACACGGAATCTTGGACTATGAATCTTTAAACAAACCGTAGAGCTTTATACTTAAGCAAATTAAGTTTGAGATCATGACATATTTTTAATAAAATGGTATCAAAACCTCTTGCAAATAAAACAATATTATACTCATTTAATGAAAATATTGCTTTCCAATAAAATGATTTTAGCAAAAATCCCTCACCAATGCACAAAGACTGCCCCAATCCAACTTGTGTTGTTTGGTGAACCGCTTCATAAGTCAGGGTGCCAGACCTGGACACGATACCTTAAAGAAAGAGAATTTAAAAATATTAGATTGTGTTCATATGATAGACTATCATAGAATAAACTAAGTTACAAATATGAGTATATATAATATCCATTCCATGATTTGTCATCCAAATCAATATTATCTTCAAATGATGATATAAGAAGAAAAGGCTTAAATTAAAGCAGGGAAGTTTTAAAAGTTAGACATAAGAGAAAGTACATCATTAGTTAGTGTTATTTTATGACCATAAAAGTAGTGCAAGAAAAACCTAAATTACCTCTTCTAAGAAATCTTTATGAAAGTGGTAATATCCATATGACTTGGTAGGTACAATCCTGCTGAGGGCAGCAGAACATATAGCTTAGACTTATAGATACCCAAACTATTACACTATTAAAACCACCATTAGTCATACTTAGCAATGCTATCTATCTTTTCCACAACTATTTTTCTAATAATTTTCAAACGATATATGTAAGCTTTAAAGAAAACTGGGAAATAGGGTCACAATCCCTCTAAGTTCAAATCTACCACCTAATTTCCATTCTACAAGAGGCCTATGTGAAAGGACCTCACTTCACATCTAGACAAGCTGTGTACATGTGGAGGTAGGGGATGGGCGATGGCAGTTAGACATGTAGTTCATTAAGTCTGGCTGAGCTACAGGAAAGCTAATTTATTTCATGCCACAATCTATATGCAATGTGTGGATCTCTAATTTTAATAGGTTGAGAAGTATAAATGAGTTACTTTCGTTGTTAGAACACAAATATTTTTAAAAATAAAACAACTATTTTTATATGGGCTAAATCAGAGCATGGATTCTGGGGTGATGAATAATTCTAGTATGCCCATGGTTCACTTTCTTTTAAGCTTCTGCTTGGAGCACTTTTTATAAACTATGAAGATTCTTTTCTAACAATACAATCCCCCTATTAGGACAAAGAGAATTCTTGTCAGACTAAGACAAAAACCATAACTATAAGCTGCCTCAACTTCAGTACAGCATATTTACATTCTTAAAGTTTTGTGTTACTGTCACTGTATACTCATGGGTACCAAGTACATGATCTGTATATAAACATCCATCTTCTCACTAGGAATTTGGGTGCACATAACTTTAGATTAGTCAAAGTTGATCCATCAAATTAAAAGACGTGTTTGTATCTTGGTCAGCATGAGACAGTTCCCTACAGAACACTGTCAGGTTGCTTTTAGATTAATTTCACCAAATGCTGAGAGCTATATCACTTCCTGACACAACTGTTCACTTCATATGGAACTCTGCACCAAACCCTCAGCCCAGCATTGTTCCAATCTATCTCTCCAGATTCATTTCCCATTTTTCCATAATCTAGTGAAACTGATTTATTCCTCAATTATTTATATTTGTTCTGCTTAAAACAGAACCCTCCCCTCCAATATCTGAAAATAACTCTAACTATCCATGGTGGCCCATATTAAAAAGTTAAATGCCACTTTCTCTTTGAAGTCTTTACTGATTCTTCAAGTAAGAACACTGTTCTCCTGTCATTTGGTTCAGTAAGAGACCACCCATGATGCTCGAGATTCTGTGGTGACTGTCCTCCTTGCTAGACTGAGACCTCTGAGGGGAGTCAGTAAACGGGACTGTTTTCCCCAGCCCTGTGTTCCCAGCATCGAACACAGTTCAGGCACAGAAGGAGCACAGTAAATATTTACTGAACACGTCAAAACTGAAAAACCTTCAATGGAGTACAAGTCTCTGCATAGCAAAATCTAATTCCAGTAGTTTTAAGACTATTCACTAACTGGAGCCTAATTCATGATAAATGAGAATTACTACCACCACCCCCATCTATCTCTTATCAGTTTTTCCATATTCTCAGAGCTTCCTTTCTATCTAAATCCTCTCTCCGTAACACAGTCCCTCCTCTGTGGTACCTTCCATAACTAAGAATATTAGGTAGGCAATACCTACGTACCTATAAATTTGGTTCATTTCATTTTTAAACAAAGTATAAACAGTAACTTCTTAGTTATACAACTTGTATGCAATTATCTAGTCTCCTCTTCACTCCACTCCTACTTGATTCTTATGGTAAAATTATGTTTTAGGTATCCATTCAACGTCTTAGATTACTGATAAGAACAGCTATTTTACTCTAGTCTTTTGATAAATCAGTAATAACAATCAGTGAAAAGTAACACCAAGATCATTCTTTTAAGGAGCTTTCATATTATTATATAAATGACATTTAAATTATATAAATACAAACTGCATATATATTGAAGGTACTGAAAGTAACATGTTTAGGGTAGATTACACCTGCCATCCTTAAAGCGTACTATCACTTTCAATGATCTATCAAAAGGGTACTCCTGCTTTTCTTCCTGCTATTCTTCCTGCTAAGTACAACCAGAAACCCTAGGCAATATATGTAAAACAAACGTAAGAAATCTCTGAAAGATGGAGAGAAAGCAGAGTGGCCAGGGACCTCAAGACTCGAGAACTGATATAGTGGTGAGTTCCCTGGATTTTCTTGTCTCATGTATACCAGCCCAGACATGGAGCTGAAAAAGCCAGCATCCCAGAAATACATAAGGACACAGGGGAGAAAAAAAAGCCCCATCCTCAAAACCTGTTCTCTCTAGCTAAAGAACCAAGAGCAGGACAGCCTAGCAAAACAGAAACTTTTAGACAATAATCACTCCATACCAGTCAAAGACTACAGAAAAAACTGTGTGCCTCCACCTGCATTTACATGAGCAGTGGCCAAAAGGGAATCCCAGACATCCATATTTTCGAGACTGTAAAGAGGCACACAGTACACCTGCCAGGATGGTGAAAGGAAAGGCCAAGTTGGCAGTCAGGACTGTCATCCATGCACGCTGGTAATGAGCCCCTCCTCACGCCACAGTGTCAGTGGAAACTATGTGGGGATCCTGTATGTCCTTCCTCATCTGGCAGTAAGGTACATCTCCATCTCCTTGGCTGGGTAGTATCAGAGAAGGCCTAGCAGAGAGTCAGGACTTTCACCATTACCCAGCAATAATAAGGCCACACCCACTGAAGTGTCAGTGGAGACACTTCACTGAGGAATGTGGAACTATCATCCCCAGTAAGGAGCCCACCTACTCTGGTATCAACAGAGGCAAGTAGGGGACTTAGACTTCTACCTCAACCTGTCAGTAACAAGGCACGATCCCTGCTGAAGGCTTGTCAATAAAGTCAGTGAAAACAGAAGGTTCAAACAAGATCCAGAGTCTCACAACGTAATACCCAAAATATCCAATTTTCAATCAAAAATCATTCGGCATGCCAATAACCACAAAGATATCAAACTGAAAGAAAAAAGACAATCAATAGTTGCTAGCATCAAGATGAAGGGGACATTAAAGAATTATCTGACAAAGATTTCAAAGAAGCCATGACAAAAATACTTTAACCATTATAAAGATGCTTGAAACAAATGAGAAAATAGATAGCCTTATCAAAGAAATATAAAGTCTCAGCAAAAAAAATAGAAGCTATAAAAAGAAACCAAATAGAAATTTTAAAACTGAAAAATATAATAACCAAAGCTAAAAGCTCAGTGAATGATCTCAACAGCATAATGGAGAGAAGAGAGGAAAGAATCAGTGAAACATGAAATAGAACAATGGAAATTACTCAATGTAAATGGTAAAGAGAAAACAGACCAGGGAGAAAACAATGAAGAGAGCCTCAGAGACCTACAGAACTGTAACAAAAGACCTAATATTTGTGTTATCAGCGTCCTGGAAGAAGAAAAAGAGAGCACAGGGCTGAAAAAGTACTTGAAGAAAGTCTTACAAAATCCAAAATTTAGCAGTAGACTCACTATATATTCAACAGGATGAGCAAACCCCAATCAGAATAAACCCAAAGAAATTCACACCAAACTCATCATAAACAAACATCAGAAAAGCAAGGACATAAAAAAAAAAAAAAAAAAAATCTTAAGAGCAGCATCACCTTACCTACACAGGAAAAACAATTAAAATGACATCAGCTTCTCATCAGAAACCATGGAAGCAAGAAGTGGAACAAGATTTTTTAAGTTCTAAAAGAAAAGAACTGTCAACCCTGAATCCTACGCCCAGTGAAATTATCCTTTAGGAATGAAGGAGAAATAGAGATACTCTCAGATGAGGGGAAAGTAGAGAAGTTGTCACCAACAAATTTATCAGAAGAGAATGGCTAATGTAAGTTCTCTAAACAGAAGGGAAATGATAAAAGAAGGAACCTTGAAATATTGGGAAAAAAGAACACAGCAATCAGAACTATGAGTAAATAAAATAGACTTTACTTCTCTTAAGTTTTCAAAGAGGAAGAAATAAATCTGTCCCTATTTGCAGATGACACTTTCTACACAGAAAATGCCAAGGAATCTACCAAGAAATTCCTATTAAGTTCAGCAACATTGCAGGACACAAGATAAACATTAAAAAATCAATTGTTTCTATATATCATGGACACCAAATGAAAATACAATAAAATATACAATTGCTTTCAAAAGAAAATACTTTGGTGTAAATATAATAAAATGTGTACAATACTTACATGCTAAAAACCACACAATGCTGATGAAAGAAATCAAAGACGATCTAAATAAATGGAGAGAGCTGCCATGTTCACGGACTGATTTGGCAGAATAAAGACGTCCATTCTTCCCAAACTGACATATAGATTTAATAAAATTCCTATCAAAGTCCCAGAAAGAGTTCTTATAAATATAGATAAGATCATTCAAGTATTATATGTAAAAGTAAAAGAGCTAGAATAGCTAAAATAATTTGAAAAAGAAAAAAGTGCAAAGAAACAATTTTAAGACTTATTATATAGCTATGGTAATCAAGATTGTGTGGTACTGGCGTTAGGATAGGCACGTAAGTCAATGAACAGAAGAAAAAACTTAGAAATAGACCAACACAAATATGCCAAAATGATTCTTGACAAAAATGCAAAAGCAATTCAATGGAAGAAAGATAATTTTTTCGAAAAATGGTGCTGGAGCAATTTAAGATCTATAGGTGAAAAAAAACTTTGATCTAAATTTTACGTCTTATAGAAAAATTAACTAAAATTGGATCATAGATTTAAATGTAAAATCTAAAACTTTAAGGAAAAAAACAAATCTTTGCTAGGCAAAGAATTCTTGGACTTGACGTCAAAAGCATACCTCACAAAAGAAAAAGATTAATAAATTAGACATAATCAAAATTAAAAGACTTTTGCTCTCTGAAAGATCATTCTAGGAGGATGAAAACGGAGCTATAGAAAGCTATAGAATAGAAGAAAATATTTGCAAAACACATCTAAAAAGTAGTAGTATCTAGGAAAGATAAAGAACTCTCAAAACTTAACAGTAAAAAAAGCAAATAATCCAATTACAACATGGGCAAAAAAAACATGAAGAGGCTTCACTGAAGAGATACAGATGACAAATAGACATATGAAAAGACAAACAATATCATTAGCCACTGGGTATATGTAAATTAAACCCACAATGAGATACCACTAAACAATTATCATAATGGCTAAAATAAAAAATAGTGGCACCACTAATGCTGGCAAGGATGTGGAGGAATCGGACTACACATACGTTGCTGATGGAAATGTAAAATGCTATGGCCACAGTGGACAACAATCTTTCCTCTCCTCACTTCCTCAAAAATCTTGTAGTGTCACTCTTTGTTTCAGGCGAATTTTTTTTTTTAAGTACTGTTTTAAAGGAATTAAAAGCAGTCTCCCAGACGACTGCCTCATCCCTGTGTTATGGCCATTCAGAGAAGCAAGATCTAAAGGACTTCCCTTACCTTCTCAGTTTTTTGGTTTTCAGGTTTATGGGAACCTAGAAAAGCAGGGTAGTGATCAGAGAGGCAACTCAGCACAGCTGAGTTTCCCTGATGACTAAATGACTTTTCAGGTGCTTATAGGCTACTTATATATCTTCTTTGGTGAATTATCTGTTCAAGTTTTTTGCACATTGTTTTTTATTGGGTTGTCTTTTTATTGCTGATTACCAGAGGCTCTATAAATATTTTGGATATAAGTTGTTAGATATATGCGGATATTTTCGATGCTCACCTCAAATCCACAGCAGTAGCCATTTAAAGCAGACCAAAGAGCACAGACAGTACTCAAATATGTCCAAGAGCATCAGTGACTACATGGCTTAGGCCCCCACTAGAGCTCAGATGGTCTACAGAATTCCCTTGACAAGCACCCTACTGGCAGCAGGGCTGAAGCTCGAAGAGACATTAGTAATAAAGAAAAATCATGACCTTTAACCCAGTCCTATAAACTACACAACTGACATTCACCTACTGTATGTTGATTATTCTTATTCAGTATTAATAATCATGGCTTATAGATAAATTGCTGTAACCATCTATTGTGGAGTAACTATAACTTAGTGAGATTTAGTGTGAAGAGTCTAAAAATGGGCATAATGGGCTAACTTTGAAATGAGAATTTGGTTCTTAACTTGAGGAACTAAACAGGTAGCTGTACAATTTGCCTAAAACATTCTGAGAAAGTCTGTGATATCCAAGAGGGCAAAGTAATTGTAGGACAGGACACACAAAAAAAACAAACAACAAAAATATCCACATATATCTGACAAAGAACTTAAACCCAAAATATTTATAGAATCCCCTATAATCAACAATAAAAAGATAACCCAGCGAAAAATAATGTGCAAAAACCTAAACAGATAAGTTACTAAGGAAGATATATAAATAGCCAATAAGTACCTGAAAAGTCATTTCATCATCAAAGAAACTCAAAACCATGAGAAACCATTTCATTTCCAGTAGAATGGCTAAAATGAAAAACTGACAACACTAAATGTTTGTGAAGATGTGGAACAACTGGAACGCTCAAATACTGATGGTAGGAAAGTAAAACTGAACAGCCACTTTGCAGAATTATTTTAAAATTTCTTAAGTTGAACATACTTCAACCCTATGACTTATTGATTCCATTCCTAGGTATCTTACCCAAGAGAAATGAAAATATGTCCACAAAAATACCTGTATACATAAACATTCACCTTAGCCTTATTTATAATGGCTAAAACCTGGAAAAACCCAAATATTCATCAATGGGAGAATGAACAAACAAATTGTGATACAATTACATAACAGAATATTACTTAGTAATAACATGAAATCAACTACTGAAACACATGGAAGAATCTATGGCATCTGAAGAGGAAAAGAATCTTTAAAAGACGCCCAAAATATCTTCATTTATCCTGTAGAATCATTATTGCTTCTCAAACTCATTCAATCTAGGACACAGAATCAATTAACTACAAAACTTCCCTGGTAAATTCTACTGAAATTAAATTAATTAAAATGAATTTGACTTACACAGTTATAAATTCTCTTTGTAAATTTTGAGCTTAGAGCAGAGAACTTTTTTTTTTTTAATCTATGAGAAACATACTTACCAATTCTTCCTTTCTTGTGAATATGGCCGGGCATGATGCCAATCTTACATTCTCCAGGCTGAAGAAAAGTAAATCAGTTTCAGAAAAGAAAAAAAATACAACTACAATTCATAGTTCAAACTCACATGTACACCTGGACTGATGTGAAGCTAATTAGCCTCTGAGAGGCTGAAACTGGGCTTAGTTTTCTTTTTCACACTCACATTGATGACTCCAGGACAGTTTGGCCCGATCAGCCTTGTCTTTCCCTGGCGCAGTAGTCTGTGCTTGACCCGAACCATGTCCTGCTGTGGGATACCTTCAGTGATACACACGACCAAGGGCACTTCCGCCTCAACAGCTTCATCAATGGCAGCAGCAGCAAAAGGAGGAGGGACGTAAATGACAGAAGCTGTTGCTCCTGTCTGTTCTTTGGCCTGAAAGATTAACCATGAAGTACTTTATTATTTGTTAAGTCATAAACATTAAAAAATGAATTCAATACCATGATTTTAATAATGTCTTGGAGTCAGAAAAGGATACCACCAGGAGACATCGGATGTCTTCATGGCCTTCTCTCTGACCTCGTGAAATGCCACTCTGAATCGAAAGATTCTGTGACCTCTCTCAGGCTATGGCATGTCAGTAAACATGAAAGCGCTGCCTGATTTGCATCTGTGTCTCCTCGTTCCTGTGGCCATATTTATTTTTGTTGCTCTACAAGACATTGTACCATCTATTCAGTCCTAAGACCCTATACTTCCTTGGGAGAAAAAGGACTACTGAGTCCCTGAGGCTCAGAACTAGTCTCTCAAACACCTGTTTAAAAATACATCATACTTGATAAAAACTATCAAGAAACAGCAAAAATGAAGGGGTTTTTTTAGTTGACAATTTTTAGTCTAAACACATGTGTATTAGAAATAAACTAAAATGCATAGGTGGCCACAGAATAAGAATGTGGGTGAAATAAGCATTAGGGTTTACTTTACACCATCCCTCACAATACAAAGCACTTAAAGACATCAATTTGACCATCATTCTCCTCTCTGTGGACACAAGCTTACGTTTGGTCTTTACATACTCTCTATGTCCATCAATACGATGTATCCTTCCCACTTCTACATGTGGCCATGTCTCTTGTGCTGTACTGGAAGATCCTTGAAGATGAGCAGTGATCTCTAACTCTACAAGAGTAGCAGCATCTATTCTGTGAGAGGGCTCTACATAGGTCTCAGTTAAGGCTTCACCACAATCCTGCATGCTTAGTATCCTCTGCTACAAATCAACATGCTGAGGCCAAGAGATATTAAATAACTTGTATGAGATTACATAGCTAGGAAGTGGCAAAGCCAAGACTCAAACCTCAGTCTGATTCCAAAGTGCATTCTTTTCAGTTAATAGCAAGCTGCTTACCTGCAAGTGTTAAAATGTAACTTAGTTACCACATAAATCAAAAACTTTTAAAAGCCTGTGCCATGAGATTTTACCATGGATACAAATACTAAGCTATAGAATATACAGGTACAAGTAGAAGAAGGCAAAAGTAAAAGACAGTGTCTTCGAGAACCATCCCTGAATGATTCCCCATATCCCCAGATAATGAGAAGCTTTCCCTATTGCATCCCTAATAAAAGATTATCTTGACAATGACAGAAGAACAAAGCCAAAGGATGCTGACAGGTCATCCATAAATGATAACAGGGATTAAAAATAATTTTTAAAAATCTTTCAGGTGATAACAGATAAGCGAGAACAAAAAATAAAAACTAAGTTGGAACCAAAAGAAGGCAGATTATAGGTAGGTAGGTATTTTATGGAAAATATATCCCACAGTTCTCTACCTCTTAAGGCTACAAATACTGTCAGAAACTAGACTGTGACAATAGGGTCTACGCTGATAAGTAATACTGGATGAAAGATACCCATCCTACTCATTCAGAAAGTTCTTTGTAAGAGGTGTACAGGTGAGAAATAAACAGTATCTGTCAGAGAACTTAAATAATCCAAATATATCTATTTGTATCATGGTGAATAATAAATGAGTTGCTTAGCAACAAAAACTTTCTTTGAAAGAAAGCAAAAACAGACTCATGACAAAAGTCAAATCTACCTAGAGAAATAGCTCCTCTCTATATTTTGAGGTCAGGAAAGCAATCATAACAGAATTTAAGTGGAGGAAAAAACAAAAAATTGAAGCAAAAACATTCTAAACAATTCTTCTAAAGAACGTGATCTGTAACATTTACTCTTTAAAATACAGTACACTTAAAACACACATACACACATATAGTATACACTATTCTCAAATTTAAAGTAAAATGAAGTAATCAAACTAGAATATTTGTTTTTTTCTTACATTTTAGGATTAAAAGTACAAATTAATTTCAACTTGAAGTTAAGAGTCTGAAAAGAGAATGTCTATAAATTTGTACTTAAAAATTTCAAAATTTTAAAATATGCCTTAAAAGGAAAGGGGGAGGAGTGTATTATTTATCATTAATACATTACTCCCAAGTACTAAGTTTATTTCCTAGATATTTTTAATTAAATGACTAAGAATTTGTATAACTGTTTCTTTTAAAATACTATTGTTTTTATATATAGTCATGTAAGTGTAGACAGGAACAAAAGAATACACATAGCTTAAATTAGCTCTCTATAAGGGCAAAACTTGAGATGTGAAAAACACTATAAAATTTAACTTTACATATCTTTATATCATGTGAATTTGTAAAATAAGCGCATATTCATTTTGTAACAAAGAAGTAAAGTTTAGTTTAAAAATAATTTTTAAAATATTAAGAAATCAGTTGTTTGGGAAGAGACTAAGACTCTGTGATTTGTCAATCTGACTCAACAGACCAGTTTTTTCACACAGGGACACCACACGACCTACTTGAGCCATGCTAAGCCTGCCAGTTACAGGCAGTATCGTTGTCTTTAAAATGGAGATGATAACAGCAACTACCTCAGAGGGTTGTGCGGAGGCCTGAATGAGGCAATGTATAGGAGGCACCCAGCACAGTGCCTGGCAAAGAGCCCATGCTCAGTAAGTGTTAGTGGGTAAGTGCTGACATATACACTACTGACATCCTGGAACGAGAAAGGGAGGAAAGGATAATAAGGCAAACAGAAGCCAAGCCACAGCATGTCTTCCCTTAAGAGCTGATGTATGCCTCTAAACAAAAGTGACACAGCCATGGAGAAAACATCCTGAGTCTATGTGACTAAAGTGATTCCACTGGTTTTTATTGTGATTTAAATTAATCTAGGTTACTGGATTTTAAAATGGCAAGTGACTCTCTCAAAGGAGACACAATTAAGATCTCTATCCAAAGTATGCTTGCTCTTCCCTGTTTTTCTTTTCTTGCCAAACTCGGGTCCCATTAATTACCTCCTTTACAGTATTAAAGACAGGTAAGCCCAGGTGCGTCTTTCCTCCTTTCCCTGGGGTGGTTCCTCCAACAAGTTGGGTGCCATATTCCAATGCCTGCTGGCTATGAAAGGTGCCCTGAGGGAAAAAAGCACAAGACTCATGAGAAAAGGCAGGCTGGGATGCCTGAAGGAGATCTTCAGCAACTTGAAAAAGAAAAACAGGTAAACTACTCCCTTGAGTATAACAATAACATATATCCAGCATTCTCATCAAATTACTATAAACAAAGCTTTGAATCTTGAAGCAAAACAGGCCTCTGCAAAGCCAAAATAGCTGTTTGTCAAAAAAAAAAAAGGGTCTCTTTTTAATCCATTTTCAAATCTGGCTGAGGATCAGAAATACCCTGGTGTTCACTTCACATCTCTCTTTCGCTGTTCCTCAGCTCCTGAGGTCTTCACATCCCCCTTTACTCTGTTTAAAAATCCATGGTCAATCATTATACTCACACAACAACCTTTGAGCTCTCTTACTTCTACACATAGCTAGCAAAATCACAACCTTCATTAAATCCAATTCTTCACCTACTCTAAGATGGCACAAGTGCAGCCAAACAGTACCTGCAGAAAAAACAAAACCATGCAAACTGGTCTCACTTTAAATTAATGATCACTAACCTTAAGTGAGCCCTTTAACGCTGCCCTGTCTACACTCTGTACTTCCCTATCCATTCACTCTCCCTCCACAGCCTTGGCATTACTGACATTGTGAACATGTTGATTCTTTATTATGGGAAGCTGTCCTGTGCTCTGTACAAAGTTTATCAGCATCCCTGGCCTCTACTCAGTAGATGCCCGTACCACATCCTCTTCCCCACCCCAATCAGCTGAGACAACCAAAAATGTCTCCGAAGATTAAAAGATTGTTTTTCACTAGGCTTCTGGGGCTCTACCTCCCCCTGGGTCCCCTCTTCTCTTTCTCTCTCTCCTTAGACTTCTTTTTCAACTGAATTAGTGCCCTTGGTGATCTCATCCCTTATCATGGCAATAAATATCCATATGGTGACCCCTCCCAGAAACATGGAGACACCCACCACACACACACACACACACATATACACACCTATCTAGCCCAGATCTTTGCCTTAAACTTCATACTCACATTGTCAATTGCCTCTGTGACATCTCCACGGAGATCTAGTAGGCATCTCAAACCTGAAGTGCCTAATACTGAGTTCCTGGTCACCCCCCTCCACAGTCGACCCATCTCAGCGGCAATTCCACTCCTAATAGATGTTCAGACCAAAAATACTGAAGTCATCCTTAGTTTTTCTCTTTCTCTTATATCTCACATCAGGTACATTAGTAAATCACATTGTTCTACCTTCTAAATGAAACTGACAACATCTCACCCTTCTACTATTTCCACCTTGGTCTAAATCACCATCAGCTCTTGATAGAATATTGCCCTTGTTTCTTTCACTCTATTCTCAACACAGCAGCCAGTAATCCAATTAAAACATAAGGAAGGTCATGTCACTCCTCTGCTCACAACTTCCAATAGTTTTCCATCTAATTCACAGTAAAAACCAAACTCCTTACACTGGCCTACAAGTCAGTATCCAAACTGCCTCCCCAACTCAGAACCCCTTAACCTGCCTGACCCTGTTTTCTGTTCTCCCCTGCTCGTTTCACTCCAGTCGCACTGATCTTTCAAGCTTCCTTACACGCCTGGCACATTCCACGTCACAGCCTCACTGTCTCCTTTGCAGAATCGCTGGCCTCTACCCAGTAGATGCCAATACCACACTCTCCTCTCCACCAATATACTGCTCCTACATATCCACTTGGTTCACTCCCACAACTCAGTTAGCTCTTGAGTCAGGGGTCAGGCTTCCCCTGAAAACCTGACATAAAATCTCCCCTTCCCCATCCCAACCACTACCACGACTCCACGCATATAGACACACTCCTTCTTTCTCTAGTTTATTTTTTCCAAAGCATTTATACTTTCTAATGTATCACATAACTTACTCAATAATTTTGTTGATGTGTTCTCTCCCCTGCAACTAAAATGTAAATTCCATGAAGGCAATGATTCCTGTCTACTTTGTTCACTGCAAGATGGCACCTAAATCAATACATTATATACAGTAGGCACTCAATAAGTACTTGTTGAAAATTGTATATATGGATCCATGTGGTCATTCTACAAGGACCTAAAAATGCTGATCCAACTGCTCAAATTCTATTAAAGGCATAAAAATTAGGGCCTTAAGAGAGATTTCGAAATATCCTGATTCAACTTCTCCATTTTTTTAAATAAGAAACTTACTCCCAAGCATATGAACTGACTTGTCTAAAGTCAGTGGTAGAATTTTGGAAAGAATCACAGCTCTTTCTTTAAAGCCGTGCTGTTAAAAGACACTTGCTGGTCTGCAGTGACAGAAATGCAAAAAGGAAGGGAATAGGAGGGGTGGGGAGGAGAAGGAAGGAGAGGGAAGAGGAGAGGTGAGAAAGAAAAAAATAGGAAAATAAAAATCTAAGAAAAACAAAATAAAAGTGAGAATGTGTGCAATTTTTATAGCAACAATATTGCTTCGATTTTTACTGCATTTTGCAAAAAAGTACTGATCTGCATTAGACAGAAAAGTAAAATAAACACCCCAACCGATCTTTCATTCCTGATAGTTTGAGAAGCACTGCCTTGACTACACTGATAGATAACTTCGAATGACCCAATTTTTTAGTCATAATGTAATGTTAAACAGGAATAACATTTCCTGTTAATAAGCTTATTCCCATTATCACTAGCCAGTACACAATTAAGAGCAAGAATAATTTTAGCATCTATGCAGGCTAGTACAAGAAATTCCATCATTGGAAATCTGCATTGTTGGAATGCATTCTGAAATACAAATATTCCTCATTCGTATGTGAAATAATGTGGGCACTGAAAAAAAAAAAAAAAAGAGCTGAGACAAAACGCAGATTTCCCATGAGATAAGCTCTAAATTTCACACTTTATCATCAGAATGATGACCTCTATAATATTAGAATCTTAACCAAGAAATCTAACTGAATGAGAAACAATATAATTGCGGTAACTGAAAGACACAGAAACCAACTTTGGATTTCCATACTTAGGCAAATCATCACCTAATCAAGGAATTAGAGACAGTTCCAAATAGTACTTACACCATGGAAGATGGTTCTTTAAAAGAAAAAGGTCAGAGGATAAAATGTCATAAGATCATATAAAGTTTAGCAAACAAAAACAAAATTATACATAATAAACTTAAGTGGGGAGTTTGGGTTAATCAAACATTTGGTTATATGCTAACGAAATTAATATATAATTGAAGAGGGACTGCATATGATTTTAATAGGCAGGGAATGATAAAATGTACTTCAAATCTTAGATGAGCATCAACTCTCTTTAAAATGTATATATGTAAAAGTGATACTCACAAAATATATGGCTATCAGAATAAATAAACCAATTTTATCTATGAACAAAATTTCAAGGTTTTGTAGGTGTTTCTTTTTTTGTTGGTAGTGGCCTTTTTTTTAAGAGAGTAGAGGAATAGAAAAAAGGTCTACTGCAACTCATATTTTTGTGGCCAGTTATTTCAGAAACAAGTCAAAAGCAAAAGGACATTTTAAATGAAACAACCTTCTAACCAAATTCATTCTTTAAATAAGAACTATATAATCTTAAAGTAACTTCTGAATACTTTAAAAACAAAAATTATAGAAATTTGGGTATCACCCTCTAGATTGAGAGTTGGTAAACTATGGCCTGAAGGATTTGGCCTGCCACTGGTTTTGTAAATTAAGTTTTACTGACATACAATCATGCCCATTTATTGACATAGTCTATGGCAGCTTTTGCTGTCACAATGCTATTGAGTAGTAACAGACACAGCAAGGTCCACCAAGCCTAATACGTTTACAATCTGGCCCTTTACAGAATAAGCTTGCCAATTCCTGCTCGATGACCCAAATACTACATAATAAACATGACAATTCTTTTAATTACAGAAAAATCAATAACTTTTAAATTATTAAAAAAAAAATCATTAACTGGTTTTATCTTGCCATATCTCCTTTAGTAATAAAGAAAAGGACACTCTGAGTTAAGACACGTAGTTATCTTTTAATTGATCTGGTAGTATTCCCTCATTTATAAAAAAAATGCATCTACTATGCATCTACTATGGTGGAACTATAAATCTATATAAATGTGTTAAAGGACAACTTAACAGTAGCTGTTGAAATTTTAAATACACAGAAACTGTGACATCCAATTTTACCTTTAGAAATCAACTTTACAGACATATATCTGTATGACCTATATTATATACTGTATGTGCTTTTTATATATTACATATTGTTCTATTCAATAAACTGTAGTATGCACATTAAATAAGTATATGAATGCTTGTACAAGCAAGAAAAATATCTGGAAGAATATATGTCAATTTGTTAACAGAAGAATTCTAGGAGAGTAGAATGGCAGGAAAGAGGAAAAGGAGATTCTTACGTTGCATTTTATCATGGAGTCACATCACAGATGAACTTATGCAAATTCTATGATACAGGCAAGGGAAAGGGAGAGAGAATGAATATAAATAAATGAGAACAAATTAAAATGCTTCAGGCAATTCTGGCCAGTCTCCTGGAAGGCCATTTTCCCAGAGAGAGTATAAGACAGGAAAAATCAATGAGCTGCTGCCTCCATCTCTCAGATCCCATGAGGCTCTCTGAGCTTGAGCATTTCCCCACGCTGAAGATAGATCCATGTTTAACTGTAGGATTGTTTGTCTATTTTTGTTCGTTTGGTTGGTTGGTTGGTTGGTTGGTTGGTTGGTTGGTTTTTTTAGTACAAAGCCTAAACACAAGCAATCTACTTTACCAAGTGCTTAATTAATAGTGATCTGTTACAACGTTGGAGGAAAACCAGTGGTGTTACACTTGCTGAAAAGAATATGTGGGTTTCCAACATAATATAGTCCTCAAAAGGAATTTTCAAGGTAAGTTTAAACACAATTTTCATCTTACAGACTGAGTATAGCAACTAACTCCCTCCTAAGATACAACTCCATTGCTGCACTATTTTACTTTTCTGCAACAAACATGTATTATAACTTTTATGATATTAAAAATATATATAAAATAGTTAATTTTTTTGTATCTCTAGTATACATCTTATTAAAAAAATCTTGATATACATACCTGCTTACCAGTGAAGCCCTGGCAAATAATCTTTGTATTTTTATCAACATAGAGATGTTTCCGGGAAGCTGTATAGGAACAATGCCGAATTCCATTCTGTTGCACTGAAAAGCAAAGTAAATACGGCACATTATAATTTTTCCAAACTTCTGGATCATCAATTGAACTCGGTGACAAAAAAAAATCCTCTAATGCAGGAGCTATCTTATAATCATGACAACTATAAATGTTACTTTTTAAATAAGACATATTGACTATAGAAATAGATTAGAGAAACAAACAAACAAACAAAAAACACTATATTATTCTCCAGAATCCCCTTTACTGAGAACCACAATCTTGTAGCTTTTCTGAGCTAAAAAAGAAAAGCTCAGGTTCATAATTTTCATTCCTCAGAAAGAAAACTGGGGCTCAAAGACAAATGGCTCAAACAAAATCCAGGGACTGAAAACTAAGTATCAATCCTACTAATAGTGTTTACTAAACAGCCACATGCTTTCCCCAGGGACCCAAGTTTTTAAGCCTAACATCTATAAACAACGGGCGAGCTAGGAGGCGAACTACTGGGCAACTCATTCCCCAATAATATTAACATTAAATGTTAAGTCATAGAATTAAACTTAAGATATAATCCAAAATTACTTAATTTGATCTCTTCTGATATAAGACTCAAGATCTCACATATAAAAGAAATAGTGAAAATAAAATAAATAGGAAAAGTAGGTAAGGGAGAAACAGGTTTAAAGAAAAATCTGTTATTTTCATCAACCCCCCTCAACGAAAACTGAGAAATCTAAGTTGTTATTAAAGTTAGTTGCCCATATTTCAAAAATCAGTAGAGAGTAGAGCACAGATGAATTAACACTGTGAGCTACTTCTGACTACCTTTAAACTCCCATTAGAGCCCCAAACTACTATCTCTCTGGCCCACCGTTGGCCTTTTCAAGGTGCCGGGCTAGCCCATAAAAGCTAACTCCACAAAAGAACATCATGTCACGTATCTGCCCAGGGTCAACTCCATGCTTCTGGTCATGAAAAACTGCCTCAAGCCCTCCTAAATCCTCAGAGCTTAGGTCCCAAAACTAATCTGCGTCTGGCCCTTTGAGCACTCCTGAGTCATCTTCAACTCAGGTACTTACCTCAGCTTTTAGTAACTTTGAATTCTGGAGTCCCCTCGACCTCTTGGGAAAAGAAAGGCCCAGATTTCATCCTTACCAACCAGGAAAGGAGTGTTTGTGTGCACAAATTTGCTGGGTAACAAATAGCTGCGTTCTTGAACTGCACTAGGCCGAACAAGGGGCCTTAAGGAAGCAATGATGGTCAAGTCCTGGCACACTGGGTTCAGCTATGGCCCTGATCCTGGGCCAGTGGACACTACAACAGGAATTTGTAGCCTAAGAGCCCACCTTACCCAGTGCTGTCACTCAAGGCCCATTCTCAACCTTAGCCGCCAGTTCTAGCTGGATACCCACAAGCACAAGAGCCATGCAAGAGCTATACTCTTTCTTCCCCTGCTGCTATTCCTGGTAGAATCTACTCCCCCAGTCCCTCCCATTCTTGGAATCTCCAATAAATAGCAGAAGATTTGATTAAAGATCAAATGATAAAATCATTTTATCATTTTATCATTTGGATATCTGGAGCCCTTACTAAAAGAAAATACTTGCTTTTGAAGATAAAGCTTGGTCTTCCATGTGTATTCTTATACTCACTAACGTACAAAAGGAGACATCAGACTGTTTTCTCCTTCCACAGAGGAAGGAGTGGCTCTCTCAGCCTGAGAAAAGACAGGCCTACCTTTGTACATAAAGCATGGCCTCAACACCAAAACAAGCAAGATCTCCTACTCCAGACCTTCTAGATCAACTCTATGGAGCTCAAGCTTCATAATGCCAGATCTCTGGTGCTCATTAAAACTGCACTGAAATGTGATGAACAGCAGCTCATCTTCTAGGCTCCAAGCCCTTTGGTAGTGTTCAACCTGTGCAATGACTCATATTCTAAAGCATCTAGTAAAGGGGAGCTTGAGAGAGCTATCACACATGGTGTGGGCACATACATGTACATGTGATCTCCCCATCTACTGTATGAGCCCAGGCTCATCAGACCTAATTTCAGGTAAGCTAGAACTAACAGGCTATCACCTTTGAGCCAACCCCAAAATACATGTTCAAAGACGAGGAAATGAAATCCTGACCACATTTTGTCCTGACAAGAAACCTGGATGATGCCAGACAAGGTATCTTTGGTACTGAAATGAGAGAATGCTACTAGAATAACTGAGTACATATCCCAGTTCCTGGGGTTGTCATGATTATTCATTTATTCAATCAATATTTGGGGAGCATCTATGCCAAGCCACAATGCCTTCCAAGCCACAATGCTGAGAGTCTAGGAATAAGTGTTGAATAAGAGACTCTTGGTCTTCGGCCTACAATCTGTCTGAACTGACATAAAGTGGGCCATAACTGCACAGGGTGAAACGTACTGTTGAAGGACTAAGTCTTGGACATTTTGGGTAGATGTAGATACTCTCCTATCCCAAGTAAATCTGTGGGGCAGGGGGAGGGATACAGGCTGGGGGTACTGAGAGGGTAGGGTTAAGCGATGTATTCTTCATTGGGACTACCTCCAAACTGAGCTCTGGACTACTCGCAGTTTACTCCTAAAATCCAATACTTGACCTCCAATCTCCTATAAATAGAAATCTCTCTAGTTCCTGGCCATGGCTATACTCTCTCAGGAACTGAAAACTCTCTTCGCCTCTGCCCTAGTCCCAAGCCATGAACCCAGTTTGGCCCCATCCCATCCAAACTGATACCTACACCTGCACAGTGGGGATAAACCAGTCACAGGAGGTCCCAGATAAGGACTCACTGACCATTACATCCCTCTTTTTCTGGAATACTGCTCTAGGACATGTAGGTCAACTAAGTAAGAAATGTTGACAATCAAAATGGCCTCTGAAACCCAAAGAAAAACCTTGAGGTACCCCGGCAAGCCATGATGGTATTCCAGAATAACCACAATGCCCTTTTCATCCCAGAAACTCACCCCACACCGGAAGATGAGCCTGTCCCAGCCCTTTACACCACGCACACTCTCCCACTGCTATGGCTGTGAAGAAGACCTAAAGGCCAGTTGTACGTTATAATTCTCTTCATCTTAACTTCTGCCTCTTCTACAATTTCAGGTGACACATACTCCAGCTAGAATCAACCTTCAGTCTCCCACCCCTCTACACCATCGTGACACATACAAAACTGGCAGATATATTTAAGGTAATACTGTTATTAAATCAGCGATGTCTTACCACTGCTGATATCATAGAATCAAGGAAATTCTTTCTCTTTCGCTATTTGTTTGCATTCAGGCAAAAATAATGCAAAATATGCTTATATTCCAAATAAAATTCACCAAATTTTAAGTCACTTATGTTATTCTTCTCCACCTTTTATAACCCAAGGCCCAGCATCACAGGCTGGAGGCCCCCCATGAGAGCAGCCTCTCCTGACCCTTACCTCCGCATCTCCCCACCTCTCTTCACCTCCCCTCCTACAACTCCACCACTCTCTAAGTTGGGCCAGTAAAGACTGAAAACTACTAACTGCTCTAAACATTAAGTCTGTCCGATTGGCTCTCTGCATTTTCTTTCCCT